GCCGATGACCGCAGCCAGCACCGTTCGCGGTGGCCGACGAGGCGGCATGCGGTGGTCGGATACTGGGTTCTTGAAGAACCACGGTGGCCTGTTCTTGAAACTCAAGAACAAACCAGAGAAAAAAGAGAGAAGAAGAGAGGGTTGTTCGGTGAGAGAGATGAAAAAAGAAGGTTTAAATTTTTTTTAGCATTTATATTAACCAGTTAACCCGCGTATAGACCCGACCCAATCTTCTGATCTGCGTATTTTTACGAAATAAAGGGTAAACTACCCTTTTGGTCCCCTGCTGTGTTAAAAGGCCCCATTTGCATCCCTAAATTCATTTTAATATTGGCCCGTAATTTTTATTTTATTTGAATTTGGACACCTAACTCTTTCTTCTTATTTAATTCGACCCTTATTTCTATTTGTATATATTTTTATTTGTTACATAATTTTTTTTATTTATTAATATTATGTATATATATATTTTTCATTTAATTTTATATATTTTTACTATTATATTTATTCTCTATTTTTATTGATATTCGTCGTTGTATATATATATTTTATTACTATTATTATTATATATATATATATATATTATACTCATATTAATTATATCTATCTACCCCCCACCGTTTTTTTCTTCATTTTCATGCACTGCTGTACTTTGATTAATTAATAGATTAGGTTTGACGTTTTAACTTTATGTTATCATTATTTATTCTTTTTCGTCTTAGCATTTATTTATCATTCTTTCACTATGGTTTTCACCCGTTTCATTTAATATTATATGTATATGTTATCATCTTTCTTCATTTTATTTATTTATTTTTGTCTTTACTTTTTCATTCTTTTATTTTCTTTATTTTATATTACTTTCTTTATTTCGTTCGTTTTTGTATTATTTATTTTCATTTTTCTAACACATTTTTGAATTTTAAAGGGTATTTTTTTGACCAATCAGAGGTAAGTAATCTAGATCGCTATTTTTACCTTTTAATTTAAAATTACAATTTTCTTAATTAAAGATGACTGGAAATTACATAGTACCGAAAGGGCAGTTCAAGGGTGCTAACCCTTCCTTGACTGTAACCGGCTCCCGAATCCGACATATCACTGGTAAGAAGCGGATCAGGTAAGAAATAAGGTATCCGATCAACCCGTTTTATTTTTTTAAAATAAATGATCGGTGGCGAGTCCAATCCATTTGCCTAAGTCGAAGCTCAATTTCGGGCCCAACCGAAAGACGGTTACGACACTAGCCAAAGTGCATCGGAAACTGCATTACAGGCGGCTTTAGACTATGCATGCGGCCATGGAGGAGCCGACTGTGGAGCGATTCAGGCAGGTGGAAGCTGTTATTATCCCAACACTGTTCGTGCTCATGCTTCTTATGCATTCGACAGCTATTTTCAGAAGAACCCGATTCCTAGTAGCTGTAATTTTGGAGGAACTGCTGTTACTACCGCCACTGATCCAAGTAAGTTTTCCATCTTTTACATCTTCCGAGGGGACTGAGCTAGGATCAAATATTTAGGATGGACAATGTACCTAATTCAAAATAATAAGGACTTATTATGTATTTAATCTAAAAATTTGGGGAGCAAAAGTCTAATTTTATTCAAATTTAAAGTTTAAACTGATAAGGACCTAAAACGCTATTAAACAAAAAAAAATAGGAGCATAGATTTAAATAATGAGTGCAATATCATTTTCGATTGCGTTACTTTTATTGCGATTGCAACAATAGCACTACTATTACAATCATTGCATGTGTCGCGATTGCTAAATAATGACTTTGAACGACACTTTTATTTTATATAGCGTCCGCTATTCTGATAAGAAACCACTATTTAAATCCTACTTCAGAGTTTCAAGTAGAGATGTTCATGAGTTTGACTATAATATAAATCAAAAAATCTAACTCATTTTGATTTAGCTTGAATTAATACAGACCATCTGTTTTAATTTCTTTTCAATTTAGTTTGTAAAAGAACAAAGGTTAAACTACGGTTTTAGTCGCTAGATTATTCTTATAGTTTCGTTTTAGTCATTCAATTATATATAAGATCATACTTAACTTACATTTTTTTTAAATAATTGCATGACATTACCTTCAAGGTGGAGCTAAAAAAATTGAATAATGAGCATCAATATTCTTTTAAAAATATTTTTATATTAAATTTATAACGAATATTATTTTTTTAAAAAAACTTTTGGGGATATGACACCCCTCGGTACATGTTAGCTCCACCAACGATTACCTTATGATGATACAAAAATATTACCGTTATTTTTTAACTATTAACGATTAAAATGAAATAAAAACATAAGTTTAGATATAATTTAAAAAAATAATATTAAAATGACCAAAATGAAACCACGTGAATATTGACATCTCTGTTTACACTATAGAGGTATCTTTACTTACCTAATTAATTAACTATCAACTTTAGATCTCTAATTTTTCTAAAACATATTAAAGTTTTAAAAAGTTAATTATAAAATTATCACATGAAAATATATAATTTCAGGTATAATAATAAAAGATATAATTTAATGATTGCTTCATGTTTGGGTATTGACTTCAGGTAGAGGGACATGTCAGTACCAATCCACACGGTAAGCTTTTGCCATCTCTTCATTTTACATTGCTTATATTTAATATAAAGTGTATAAATTATGTTTAAAATTATTTTTTTAAAATAATATTTTTTTCGTTACACTTTTTAGATGTCTATTTTTAAAAAACCGTTAAGTGACATGTGTCATATTCAGATTTTTAGAAAAATATGTTTTTAAATGATATTTTATTTTTAAAAAATTCAGAAATATATAAAAATGACACGTTTCACTCAATGATTTTTGTAACAGTAGGCACTTATAAGTGTTACGGAGAAAAACATTAGGCAGGTAAAAGTGTAACAGAGAAAACATTAGGTATATATTTTTAACAAAAAATTCTTTAGACACAAAAAATAAATTTTAGGTATGTTTTAAACAATAATTTTTGCATTAAGCCTTTGGGTAAATTACAAATTTCATCATTGAACTTTACTCTCTCTCCTATTTTACTCATTGAACTTTAATAGTTTTCAATTTCCTCACTGAATTTAACAAATTGTATTTTTTTGTCATTAAACTTTACTCTCTTTCCTATTTTAGTCACTTTACAGTTAAATAGTTAACGACATTAAAAACAACTTCGTTTAAAAAAACACCAAAATAACGTCGTTTTGCATCTATATAACAACCTATTTTAACACCGTTAATTATTTAACAGCCGAGTGATAAAAAAACTTAATGTATTAAGTTCAGTGAATAAATTAAAAAGATTTAAAATACAATGAGTGAAATAGGAGAGTGTAAAATTCAACTACCAAATTTGTAATTTACCTAAGGCTTTTACATTTGGTTGTCATTTGTCATCTAATTAATGGTGAACATTGCAGCACAACTTCTTCAATCTTAGACATCAGCACCGCAAATGGTTCAAATGTTTTTGGTGCAGTGCCTTCACGCCCATCCCCATCAGCTGCATCCACCACCAAATCAAATCACATGCAACCTATCTTCATCACCATGTCATGCCTCATTTTGCCCTTGACTAGATACTACCGTTAGATGATATGAAATCCATGCTACTTAGGGTTTTTTTTCACATTAAATGTATGTTATGTTTGAACATAGATTAATGATATAATCTTATTATATATATATATATATATATATCAAAATATATTTCAAGAGAATTTTTTTAACTTTACATATAAAATTTGAAAAAATAGCACGAAACAACTTAACTCAAGAGTTAAAGGAATCGTCGTTGTTCATAGAGGTTACAACTTCGAGCACCAACGGTTACAGTAAGGTGATTGATTGTTCATCATTAAACGATTGAAATAGAATATATATTACTTTGTAATCACACTAGCTTGATCAATAGAAAATTTGAAAAAAATGAGTTAATTCAAATAATTTAAATTTTAAAAATATTTTTAGTCAAATTAAATTTTATTCATCCTAAATATAATAAGGGTAAACTACATTTTTAATACCTAAACTATCAATTTTGATTTGTTTTAGTACCTAAACGTTTAATTTTTTTAAAATCATACCTAATGTTTAATTTTTGTTCCATTTTAGTACTCAACTGTTAAAAAATTAACGCGTTTTGTACCTAAACTATCAATTTTGGTCTATTTTAGTACCAAAACTTTTAATTTTTTTTTAAAAAAATTATGTTAAATTTTGAACAGAGATACTAAAATGAAATAAAACCTAAATTTTGATTTTAAATAAAAAATTTAAATACTAAAACTGATAATTTAATCATATAATAATAAAAATTAAAATTTTGATCCTATCTCATTTATTGCCACGTGGATGAGTAAAACAAAGGTACATCCACACTGACTTACCCCCAAATTCTCTCCCATGTACCAAAACAAAAGCACCTCACAATCCACTGTATTTACAGCATTGGCCACTATTGTATCAAAATACACTTGAAATACGTATAAATTACGGTACTGGGATAAACAATAGCTACGAGTGTAAACGAGCCGAGTCGAGCTCGACTCGAAAACTCTGAAATGGAGCTCGACTCGAAAACTTGTGAGCTTAAAATTTTTAAGTTCGACTCGAACTCGAAATCCTGAACTGAAGCTCGTGAGTAGCTCGAAAAAACTCGAAATGAAAAAATTTCTTAAATTTAACTTGATTGAAATCTCAAATTTAAACTCAAACTTAAACTTTAAATACATTAAAATTTTAAAATATATATATATTTTAAAATCAATACATAAATATAAATATTATTAATAATTTATTTTTAAAAAAATAAAATATTAATATATTATATTTTCGAATTAATTCTATTTGAATTATTTAAGTAGATGTTGATATCGGTAACTCGCGATACGTGTCTCTCATTTACAGCCCTGGCAACAGCCCCAATCTGCCTTCCCAGATTCATGCCTTAAAAGAACTATATTAGTTTCTTCATCTTCTTCTTCACCTTTCCTTTCCTCTTTCCTTTCTGAAGCTGTTCAGATCTGGCAGCTTCGGCTCTTACCTCACTGTTATCCCACATTTCACCTCTTCTTTCTTATCTATGTTTATATTCAGATTGAAGAGGGAAATGAGGAGAATTTTGGGTTTTTGATTTTGAAGACGTGAAGGGGAAGGGAAGAGAAGGAAGAGTAGGATAGTTGTTAAGACTGAATTATCTAAGGGTGGTTTTTAGAGTCACTTCTTAATGGTGGTTGAAATGATATTGTTGCAGTAAAAAGAAGAAGAAGAAGAAAATGGGTGTGTGAAGGATTTGGAAATCTGACGGACTATGGACTTCTGATTTCAAATCGAGGGCGATGGGACTAATGTGGTTGATATCTTAGATATCTTCACTTTGTTTTCTGCAAATTATCTTTTCCTTCACCATCTTCACTGGAATTTCAATTTGGATACTTTTTTTTTCACGAAATGCAGCAAGATCACCGAAAGGTGTCACTTTTTTTATCCTTTTGGGATTTTATTTTCTTCATCCTTTGTATGATTGATGATTAATTGAATTTTCTGCTTTATTCTTTGTATGATTGTTGAATTATGATTTTGCTAGTTTTGTAAGAACATTAAATATGGGATTTGATTTTCTTGGATTTTCTCCTTTTCTGCTTTATTCTAGATGTATATGTTTTTGTGTGTGTGGAGAGCTGGAATTTGGAGTCCATTATAGTGAGGTTGTCTTCTTCCCTAGTCTGTTGTTATGTTGGCAGGCAGAAACTTGATTATTTATATAGGAATAATATTATCTGCCTAGTTATGAGCTTTTGTTTTCCATCTTGATCATCAGTTGCATCTGCGGTTTTGGAAATAATTGCTTAGCTCATGAGTTTGAAGCCTTGATGATCGTGTAGTTATTAAAAATCTTCATTTTGTTTGGTCGCATACAGGCATAGACTGATGAATTTAAACTTGGATTGTTTGGTGTTCATTTTTCGTCTTTTTGTCCTTTTATTTGTTATTAATGGTTGAGTTTTCATATCATTTGTCCTACATTTGTGTGTTGCTTTTTGTTTCTAGTTGAATTTAGTGTCATTAATAATGAATTTGAATGCCTTAATACCTGCATGTATTGACCTGTGGACGTTTATGAGGTCATTCTGCGATTAGCTAGGTGCATTTGCATTTTTTGAAAAACTATGCTCAGCAACCTTGTCTTACCTGTATTCTCCTGCCACAGAGTTCAACAGAGATGGAGCTTTTCTCTGAATATGGTGATGCCAACAGGTATAAGATTCAAGAAATTATAGGAAAAGGCAGTTATGGTGTTGTTTGCTCAGCAATCGACACCCATACTGGTGAAAAAGTGGCGATAAAGAAAATACATGATATTTTCGAGCATCTTTCTGATGCGACCCGAATTCTTCGTGAGATAAAGCTGCTCAGACTTCTTCGACATCCTGATATTGTTGAGATTAAGCACATCATGCTACCTCCTTCCCGAAGGGAATTCAAAGATATTTATGTTGTCTTTGAGCTTATGGAGTCGGATCTTCATCAAGTTATTAAAGCTAATGATGATTTGACTAGAGAACACTACCAGTTTTTTCTCTACCAACTACTTCGTGCATTGAAGTATATACATACCGGTAATTGTCACTATATTGATTATATTGCTTTGTCAGAGACTTGAACTGGGTTGATAGGTGTAACTGTGTTGATTGGTTTTATTAATATTGATAATCACAGGTGATTTGTTGGAATAAGGTTTGTCATGTCTGGCAATTTTAATGCTAATCATAGCTTGTTTTGTGTCAAACTTCTTCCATTATACCATTGTTTTTGTTTAACAATTTTCCCCTGAACAGTGTTGTCAATGGTGCAAGGTGAACATTAGGCACTAGAACCCTTTTATTGCTTGAGGCGAAAAATAAGATATATAATTATGATAATAAGCTTAAGATACTATGACCGTTGTGTATATATAAGATAAACTTAATGATATATATTTTAGAGTTTTGGATAGTCAGTTTTCAGTTGTCAGCCTTTTCCGTTGTAATCATCTTCGGTCACAATCACTTCTAGTTGCATGTTTTATATTCAATAATCTAGTTGCTATTTTTCTATATTACTATTGTTCATTTTCCCTTTTTAATTTTTTTTTTGTTTTATTTTCTCTTTACGTTATGGGCAGGTTATATATTTGTATACCGCAGAATGTATCTGATATGTTGCCTATTTGGCTGCAGCTAATGTCTACCATCGAGATTTAAAACCAAAGAATATTTTGGCAAATGCAAACTGCAAGCTTAAGATATGTGATTTTGGTTTAGCTAGAGTTGCATTCAATGATACACCAATGACAGTATTCTGGACGGTATGCCATTTAAAGTAATTAATCTTTTATGTTTCCATATTTTAACTGTTCTCTATGCTATTACAATAACAAGAGCTGATTTCTCTAGATATATTTGTGGTACATTTACAGGATTATGTTGCTACAAGATGGTATAGAGCTCCGGAGCTCTGTGGATCCTTTTTTTCCAAGGTAAAGGGGTCCATATATAGGCATTAAACCTTGGAATGCTATAAATGTAAAGGGACGTCATATATTTATTCCTTTTTTTGGAGCCTATATTGGATGAAGATATCTTTTGAATCCAGTGGCGGAGCCACATATAGTTGAGGGTGGGTACTTGCCCACCTTGAAATCCGAATTTTCTTTGGTTAGTTCCTTATTTTACTGATGGTGCCGGCCCTGAATTTTTATTTGTGGCCACCCCATTCAAAAATTTTATATTGCTAGCCTATGTGTGCCCACCCTAAAAAATATTTCTGGATCCGCCACTGTTTGGATCTATGTTGCATTTTATGAAGTAAAACTTAGGCCATTGTCCGGTGCATACAATTTCTTTCAAGCTATTCAGTTTCATTTTTTTTATAGAAGTTGGAGGTCTCATTAAAAACTCCCTTCGTATTCGTTCACATACTAAAAGTATGTTAACGAACATTGGAAGGAAGAAAAGAGTACCTCAGATTTTATTAATATAATACCCGATACAAAAGACACCACAGAATATCCTCTCATGGTGATGTACACCATTACAACAAAAACCTTAACCTCATAAAACCTCATCCAAAGCCACAGTCAAATCACCTTACTACTAATTACACCACCAACAGTAGTAATAAAACAACGCGACAGAACATAATTCAAAATGAAAGCAACACCTACAACCATATAGACTAAAATAAAACCACAAATGAAGAGACGAGATCTAATGAGACTTGTATTCTTCAGGAACCCAAGAGTTTGGTTTGAATGAAGGTTCTATCTCATGCACCATGACCTTGAAGAAATTGTCACCAACCTTCAATTCAACCATCGAATCAATTCTCGCATCAGCCTTTGTTAGGACTTGAATTTTAGCCCGATCAAAGGATGATGGAGATTGACAACTTTCGTCGATAGCCAATAAAAGACCCCACTTATCAGCAATGTTCTTGAAAGTATTCCAATTCCATGCGTGAAAAGGAACACCCTCGCAAACTAGCCATACTCGACGACACTCCATTACCAAACTCTCTGACCAAGCTTCGACTATGGAGAACCACTCTGCGAGAATCTTTGATTTGTCGTTCTTTACACTTCTCAATGAAGCATTGTCTTCGAAAATCATTAAAATCGCATTACCAGCAGCTCTCATTAATGTGAAGCCAGTGAGACCCTTCGATTGCATTTGTCTAGCGAGATGACCAATTTTAACAAAGTCCTTGCACCACCCCACTAGACAATTGCTCAACACCTGGAGTTTTTCTTCATCTATAACACCTTCAACTTTATAATGATTCTTACTCGAAACATCTTCCATCCCAGACTTGCGAAGAATACTTGTCGATGACTTCCTCCAAAATGAATGACGAGGTTTGAATTTAGCGAAAGAAACACCAATTTTGCTGCCGTCGATACGAGAGCCATTCATTTTAGAGATCGTTCTCCTTGCTTCTTCGAATGATGCGAAGCGAATAAAACCAAAACGAACTCCTTTTGAATTCCTTTTATTTGGAATAAAAGCATCAAGTACCCGGCCATGAGAGCAAAATAAAGATCCAAACCTCTTCCAATGGATCTTCTCTGGTAAATTATCAATAAATAACGTGAAGCATCCAGACTTGTCATTGATGCAATCCTTTGTGGTGGACTCCCCGGATCCATCTTGGACAGCAACTGCGGTAGACTTTTCAACATAACACCCAGATTTATCATGCACATGAATACTTGGAGACGCTCCAGGAGCTGGATTTGGCACAGGCAAAACCGGAGGAACAGGATGAGAGCTATTCAGTTTCATATGCGTACCTTATCTGTTTATTTCTTTCATTTGGATCAAGTCACTAAATTTAAATAAAAGTATGGCTATAATGACAGGTATGTCACCAACTGCTTAAGTTCTCTCTAAAATGTAGGTGAATTATTAGGTTGGTATGTATTGCATAGGATGTGTCTACCTTTCGCTTTTTCTTATATCTAACATAAATGTGCAAACTTATTATTCCTTGTGATTATATGAACCTCAAATAATAGATTTAAAATTATTGAAATCCCATTTGAATACCAACTTAGCTTGTGAGGTATGTTGTAGATGTATCCTTCATCTTATATGTCCTATACCATGTTAGTAATGTACCACATTAAGGGGTTGCGAAGTGTCTCTGTTCATTTTTCGGTTCCTGTTCTTATTGCTTCACATTAATGCAGTATACACCTGCAATTGATATATGGAGTATAGGGTGCATCTTTGCTGAGGTATTAACTGGGAAGCCACTATTTCCTGGGAAAAATGTTGTCCACCAGCTGGATTTGATGACTGATTTGCTGGGTACACCTTCATTAGATGCCATCTATCGGGTATGCATACTATGGCTTCTGAGCTGTTTTGGATTGTCAAGACACGACCGTTAAATATTTTTTCTTGTCAATCACAGGTTCGAAATGACAAAGCAAGAAGATACTTAACAAGCATGAGAAAAAAGCTACCGGTTCCATTTGAACAAAAATTCCCAAATGTAGATCCCATGGCCCTAGGTCTACTGAAAAGATTGCTTGCCTTTGATCCAAAAGACCGGCCAACAGCTGAAGAGGTATTTTGTTGTAAAACATAGTATTTAGTTGTTTTTTTTAAACATGCACAGTATCAATTTGCTAATTAAACGTGGAACTATAACATCTTTTGATTTGGTATATTTCAGGCCCTTGCTGATCCTTACTTTAAAGGACTGGCAAAAGTTGAGAGGGAGCCTTCTTGTCAGCCGATTTCAAAGATGGAGTTTGAATTTGAGAGGCGAAGGGTCACAAAGGACGATATAAGGGAACTAATTTTCCGCGAGATACTTGAGTACCATCCTCAGCTGCTCAAAGACTATAAAAATGGAACTGAGACAACAAACTTTCTCTACCCAAGGTTTTATGTCGTGTTCTTGTTGCTTTTCTAATCTTAACCATGGTTCATTGGTACCAACTCTGCTGTTACATATATTAGCTTATTCTAATATATATTTTATGCAGTGCGGTTGACCAATTCAGGAAACAATTTGCACATCTTGAGGAAAATGGTGGTAAAAGTGGGCCAGTTATTCCACTTGAAAGAAAGCATGTCTCTCTTCCCAGGTAGATATAATACACGTGCTTGTGCTGCATTGTATGCATAGTGTGTCGTATCAGACATTCAGCATGTATACGGGATTCTTACCAAAGCATCTGAATTCTCTCCTTTTAGAGCAAGGGAACTTTTGGTAAATAAAGATGTTATCATAATGATTATATTTCTAGGTTTCTCATTCATTCCAAAAACCCCTAATCTCATAACTGAAATGTTGAATATCTGAATTAGAGACAGAAAATACAAAGCTAAAGCTATTATGTATGAGGTTCAGACTTCAGTCAGTAAAAGCAAACAGGCTTGTCGGCTCATTTTCATTCGTAAGGCTCTGGTTTCAGAGTTTGAATATATAAGACATGGGAGAAGTTCAATTTCAACTAGATAGTTGGAGAACTCAGGCTGAAATGAGGTTTTTTAACTCAGTCATTGTACAGGAACAAGTATATGGTGAAATTATCCTATAAAACTTCAGCTAGGGATCGATACTGTGTAATATTGATTTATGCTTAGCAACACTCCCATGAGCACAATCAGAAAATTATGGATAAGTTTGAGCATCCAAGTTTTCTTGTCATTTTCTTTGCTCAACTGTTTTCTGGATTGCTCTCAACCACATCTAATATCAGGATTGCTTCTCTTTTCCTTGTCTGGGTTTATTTTTCCATTTTTGTCTCTTTCAAGTGTAGGGTGGCGGCGGCTTCATGCTGTTCAAGTATTACAAAACATTCATTTTCCTCATCACTAATATGTTAGGTCACCTTCAATCAATAGGCTGTTTTCTTTCGGGCCAAAAGAAAGGAATAATAGGTGGTTGGTTGGTCGAAGTTATCTTCTGCTTTAGTTTTGATGATTGGCTCTGTAATCCAATGGATTTTGCAGGTCAACAATTGTACATTTTAAAACAAATGCCCCCAAAGAGCAAGCAAGCATCAATCCTTTAAAAGACAAGCAAAATGCAGAAGAGGTATACATCAAATCATCCAGGGAAACTGATGCTATTCCTCTACATTTATCAAGGGCCTTGCAGGCACAACAAAAAATTCCACAAGGTATATTTTTTAGAATATATATGTATGTATGCATATGTATATAGTACCTTTAACTGAAATACTCTGTTTGGTGAAAACCAGGAACGGTAGTCGGCCCATTTGTGCCTTACGAGAATAGAACAATCATGAAAGCTGCATATGATCCAAGAACTTTCATGAGAAGCATGGTTGTTCCACCCCAGGCTGTCCACCCTGCATATTCTTATCACAAATCCGGACAGCTTGAAAGAACAACAATGGAGTCTGTGAGGGATTTACCCTCCGTAACTAAACGAGTTCCTCAGTGTGGTGTGGCAGCCAAATTTGCACCAGATATAGTTATCGACATCGACTCGAACCCATTTTTTATGACCAGAGTTAATAAGGTGGAACCCGGTAATGACAGGATTACCATTGATACAAACCTGTTGCAGGCAAGATCTCATTATGGTGGAATAGGTGTTGCTGCCACTACTCATAGGAAGATTGGAAGTGTTCAGTATGGCACGACAAGGATGTATTAGCTAATGATGGAGAAGGGCTTTTAAAGAGATCAATTTGCAATGGCAGGGAGGGAAAAATACTGTAAAACGGAGAGGTAGCTTTCTCAGGTAAAACATAGGCTTTTACCGAGTTTGGTAAATGAGAAAATATGCCTATGGTCTGTATACATTTAATTTTATAATAAAAATAATTTCCTTCCATCAAAACATTTAATCCTCAATACTTAAAATTCTATCAATTTCGTCCTAATAATTCAACAAATATATGTTATTGTTTTCATCATAATCGACAGAGTTCAGCGGAGAGATCTGGGAAGCAACCTTGTCCCCGGTATGTTGTTGGAACTCCATGGTCTTCTGCTAATCTAATGGGTTTTTTTTCTGTTGAGCTAAACAGTTGGATTGAAGGGAAGTCAACAGCTCATTGTGCTGCGACTGAGATTCCTGCAGTTGTCGGACCATGTCCGCCCGAGATCGGGTTTCATAAGGCATGATGTTTCTCTCAATGAAAACTCCAATGTCGGGCTCAATCATGAAAACTATGTCCGTGTGAAAATAACCCGACCCGGGTAATGTAAACACCAACCAGAATGCGTTTAACAACGTCGAGAGAAGAGAGCTTCTCTAATCCTTCATCAACATGCATCCAAGAATGCCTTCTAACATATATGTACCCTTCTACGGTATAATCATGCTAATGGCAGGCTTCATCTATGGTGTCTTCTCCTCAGCTTGACACGCTTATAAGATACCCATTTAACCATCAGAAAACAACCAAGGGCCATCTCTGCCACTGTCATCATCTTTTTTTTTGAAAGGATAATATTATTAAAGCTATATTAAGAACAAAATCAAAGCTAAAAGCCTCGTTAAAAAAACCTCTCTAAACTTAAACGGAGGAAAAAGAGTGTCCATAGCCAAGGTTGAAGATACAAACACGAGCATAGCTCAACAAAAAACCCTCAAATGATCAAACAACCCGTAAAAGCCGAACTAACCAAGACTAGCAACAAAGGCAAGCAGGCCTAGAGCCCTAGCCTTATATCAGCCCCAACTAATTTAGCACCATACTAGTAACCTAAGAAATTAGGCCTGTAAATGAACTGAACGTTCAGCGAACCGTGCGGCGGAAAGTTTGTTTATGTGCGTTTATTTATTAAATGAACGAACATGAACAAGATTTTGTGTTCGTTTAATTAAATGAACGAACATGAGCATAGATCTCGTTCGTTCATTTACGTTCGTGAACGTTCGGTTATGTTCGTTCATGTTCGTTCGATTATGTTCGTTTATGTTCATTCATTTATGTTTAACCCAATCTTCTTAAATCAATTTTGGTGACCAATTTGTAAGTAGCTTAAAAATATTAATTAATCTGATATTCTGATGACCAACGCCATAATTAGCCCAATTTTATTTGGAGATTAAATCCAATATGTTAACCCGTAAGGCACCTCACACCTATATTCATTTTTCCCCTTTTTCCCCAAACCCTAGTGTTCACTGGAGAGTGGAGACGATCGCTGAAAGCTTCAAAACAAGTTATATTATAGTGCAATCTGAAGTTTTACAGGTCTGTTTTTATCTCTTTCTCTGTTTTATTTGTCTTAATAGTTGGTATGTAAAGTTATTGCGGGTATCTTCACATCTAAAACTCAAGAAAACATCATACTTCTTTCTAGAAATAGATGGGAAGATGAAGGTAACAATCGGAAGTATATGATCATCAATAAAGAGAAAAATATATAGAATTTGCCAGAAAACAAAACAAAGGTTTATATGCAATTTCTGAAAAAGAGTGTAATAGCGAAAGTAATGGGTTTTCCAGGAAGAACCCATTAATAAATAGAAAATACACTTTGACAATGAACTTTTGTTTTCATAATTCATGTGTGACCTTTAGTTGTGGAGTAGACTTTAGGTACGTTAAAATTTTGAATGGTGATTTAGCAGTAATATCAGTTACGATATGTAGCATCGAAGGGATTTCGGATCTATGTTATTGCCTTGTAGTCCAATTTGTACCGTTCGAAATCTTCATGCTGTTAAATTTTCTACTCTGCCAACGGAAAGGACCATTATTAACAAACCTCACTAAAGTCTGACATTGATGTCACAAAACTTTTAGCTGGCGAATTTATTAGAATAACGTAGTGAAAAATGATTGTTCATATGTAATCATGGACCACTAAGATAAATGTTATAGCGTTAAATTAAAGTCGTGTGAATCATTTAATATCGAAATATTTGATATCTTCAAACATTTCATCACTGCTAATCAGCTCTTACACTATTTATCACTGTAGATTTGGTTGATTTGCATTGTCGACTATTTTTCATGAAAGAACAATGGAAGGTAGGGTCTTCATCGTTTATGTTCGTTTATGTTCGTGTTCATATACGTTCGTATTCGTTTATGTTCTTTTATTTATTAAATGAACGAACATGAACAAGTTATATTCCTTAATAAACGAACATGAACAAAAAAAATTTTGTTCGTTTATGTTCGTGTTCGTTTATTTATTAAATGAACGAACATGAACATACCTTCATTCGTGTGCGTTCGGTTCATTTACAGGCCTATAGGAAACATTGCACCAGAGGCAAAAAAAAGTGCCTGTTTGGCAAATAAATAAACCATCCAATTACAAAATCTGGGAGTATACTTGATGGAAAAATTCTCATTCTTGGTGATCGAAACCATAGGACTAAGAAAGTTGACCTAATCTGAAGGACCAGTAGAAGGCGACGCGAACCAATCTACAACTTTCAAACAGTCGCTTTCAATGATAAGATCGAACACCGTGAACCATCTTCAACCCTAATGTTACAAATTATTAGGCTAACCTTTTGGAAAAGTATATATTCCATTAATTGTAATATATTTAGTTATCTAGATATACTAGCTTGTATATATATAACCCTTTTCTATTGATGAATAAAAACTACGAGACTATTTTCTCTACATATTCAAAATGATACCAGATGGTTTAATATCTATTAGAGTAGTTGATTTTTTTTGGCTGTTTGAGTACCCGTAAAAAAGAACCTTTTTTTGTTGTTTTTTATCGACGACTTTTGGAGGCCCATCTATCGACACCGCGTGCTCTAGGAGGTCCGTCGTGCGCCGATCAATCGTTCTGGAAAGTTCGTTCGCCGGAATCCCTTTGCGTAAGCCTCACGCGCCGCCACAATAGTATGCGGCTTCGTCACGCGTCAACGCGTGAGAGCGCGTGGTTGCTTGTTTTCGCCATTGATTCAAGCCGTCGTATTCTCCACTCGTTTCCGACCACACCCTGTCGTCAACCTGCGCCTTTGTGTAGAAACTTCTTCAACGGTTGTTACAATATTTGCGGATGAGTATGTTGAGTTCCTTTATCTTCGAGAACTATGAAACAATCGTCTAGTCTCATTTCTATCCTTGTCGAGTTAGGTAAATCCTAGACAAGTTTAGTTTCCACCTCATCGAAATGGGTTATTGATTTTGGTGTAACAGACCACATGACAGGTAACCCCAGTCTTCTTTCATTTTAAAACGCATTCTATCACTCATGTTACTTTAACCGATGGTTCTAAATCCACTGTTATTGGATCCGACACTGCAAATCCTACTCCCTCTCTTCCTTCGTCATCTATTTTGAGCTCAACACAATTATATTTTAATTTAATATCAATTAGTAAACTTACACGTCTCCTGCTGCTAAACTTGTTTCTGTCATATTATTTTTCCTTCTTGCAACTACTTTTGATTGGCCTTTGCATCAGTTGAATATAAAGAACGCCTTTCTTATAGTGATCTTGAGGAGGAGGTGCATATGGAGCAACCACCTGGTTTTGTTGCTCAGGGGGAGTTTGAGAAAGTATGTCATATGAAGAAATCTCTATATGGCTTGAAACAAAGTCCTCGAGCTTGGTTTGGGAAATTTAGTCAGGCTATTGAGAAGTTCGGGATGCAAAAAAGTTAGTCAAACCATTTTGTTTTCTTTAGAAAGTCTGATGGAGGCATTATCCTGTTAGTGATTTATGTGAATGATATTGTTATCACTGGAAGTGACGCTAGTCGAATTTCATCTCTGAAGTCCTTTCTTCACACTCAATTTCACACCAAAGATTTAGGGGTGTTAAAATATTTATTGGGAGTTGAGGTGAACATGAGTAAAAGGAGAATCTTTCTATCCCAAAGAAAATATGTTCTTGATTTATTATAGGAAACGGGAAAATTAGGTGCTAAACCTTGTAGCACTCAAATGGTTCCTAATATACAATTAACCAAAGAAGGAGAATCTTTTGATGATCCTGAGAGGTATAGGTGAATTATTTGAAAATTTGAACTATCTTATGGTAACGCGTCCTAACATTACGTATCCGGTAAGTGTTTTGAGCCAGTATATGTCATCTCCAACTGTTGATCATTGGAAAGTAGTAGGACAAGTTTTAAATTATCTAGAAAGTGCTCTTGGACGTGGAATTTTATATAGCAATCATGGTCATACTAGGATCAAATGTTTTTCAGATTTAGATTGGGCATGATACAAGGAAGATAAAAGATCTACCTCGAGATATTGTGTGTTTGTTGGTGATAACTTGGTTTCATGGAAGAGTAAGAAACAAAATATGATCTCACGATCTAGTGCTGAACCTGAATACAGAGCAATTGCCAAGTTTGTATGTGAAATCACATGGGTATATTAGCTCCTTAATGAAGTTGGAATTAAAGTATCAGTAATAGCAAAACTCTGGTGTGATAATCAAGCTGCCCTTCATATTGCTTCCAACCCTGTCTTCCATGAACGAACTAAACATATTGCCATTTCATTCGTAAGAAGATACAAGAAGGTTTGGTCACTACTGGATATGTGAAGACCGAAGAACAGCTGGGAGATATTTGCACAAAGGGTCTCAAATGAATCCGGATCGATTATCTATGTAACAAGTTGGGCATGATTAATATCTATGATCCAACTTGAGGGGGAGTGTTATAGATTATTAGGATAACCTTTAGGAAAAGTATATAGTCCATTAATTGTAATATATTTAGTTACCTAGTTTAGATATACTAGCTTGTGTATATGTAACCCTTTTCTATTGATGAATAAAAACTACGAGATTACTTTCTCTACCGATTCGACACCTACATTCGCCAAGGCCCAAATTTTGTCATTTAAAATGTGGAGAGCAAACCACATAAACAATTACATACACCATGAATGAAACTTATAAGCAAATCACATAAACAAATACATACACCATGATGAGACTTGGAACCAAATCACATAAACAAATACATACACCATGATGAGACTTGGAACCAAATCACATAAAGGAGCTATTGATTATGGATAAGCAGCAACCACATTGTGCGTCCAGTCCAAACAAGTTCCCACATCATGCACAAGATGAGCGGTTGGAAAAAAACCGAAGATGATTCCTATAGCAAGTCTGATAACTATCCAGAAAATGCATGTGGCCTGTTTCTTGCTTAAAATTCCTTCTGCCTTTTGAACCCAATACCAGGGATGAAAATTCAGGCTCAAAAACCAGTGAAACTTGCATGTTCTGATCGTAAGCGAGAGGCTATATCCTCATATTCGAGACCTTGCAGTGAATCTGAAAATGAGGTACTTAACGATTGCTTCCCCTAACGGCTGCTGGAGAGAAAGGCTTAACTGGTACTGCTCAAGCTGAGGAGGTTATTGAGGATAAGATTAGGCATTTGCAGGCTAATAGTGTATCATCGTCTCCTAGCCAAATTTCTCAGTTGGTGCATCGAGAAAATGAGTCTCTTGGTATTCCTAAAAATGCTAAGAATTACAGGGTTATTAGCGTTGATATGCATAAAAAAAGAAAGCAAGAATTTTCAAGAATTGCAGGCATGCGAGAGTATTAGCCAGGAATCAGGCTCAGCAAGCCCTGTTGAGAAAACTCTGTATGTAGATTCTGTACACAAAATATCATCCAAATCATCTTTTCCAGATGAAACAGCACTAACTCAATGCATGAAGGATGATTTAGAGATCCTGGTTAATCCCGGGGAAATGGAGGAGAGTTCTTTATTGAAGGATTCCAAGCACTCGAATCATGTTGTTGATGAGAAGGTAGCATTGCAGCACAAGAGCATGGAGTCTGTGGATCAGTATTCTCCGTCTTCTCCTGAAAAGTATGCTCCTTGCTTGCGAATGAACGCATCGGACCTTGCCCGAAGGGATATAGCTCTGATTCAGGATTCTAGTAAATTGGCATGCCTAAGTGTTGCTCACAACAGGAAGAATGAGTTAAGTCCACGAGAGCTCATACAGGAGACTAAATCATATACACACTCAAAAGTAAGTGAACGTATAAAGATTGATTTCGAAAACCGCCCACAAATCAATTCAAGTAACAGAGGAAGTTCTGGCGGCTGCAACTTAAAACTTCCTCTTGCCCTACCTTCATCGAAAGCTCCATCGGACTCTTGGTTAAAGCGAACCATGCTCGCCGTTTCATCGAGAAATTCATCCCCATTGTCTTATCTTGGTACATGTAACTATACTGAATCTCTAGCCAACAGAGCCCCATTCATTGATATCAAGTGGGAAACCATCGTTCGATATTCTAATGTTCGTCACGGCGGTCTGCGGACAATATGATCAATGACATTGATAATTTGAGGACTGCATATAACATTTTAAAGTTTAGGCATCAATTTAAAATGGGATCATGGTTTAGGGATTGATACAAAAATATTTTAAAGTTTTATGGACCAATATAACACAGGAGTCATAGTCTGAGGACCTTCAACACAATTATCTCATATTAGTCTTGGATTTACTATTCAATCCACTAAACCAATTAATAATTTAAGTTTTATATTAATTATTAACCATTTGCTCCATAAAGAAAACATTAATGGGGAATTTTACCATTTGCTCCATAAAGAAAACATTAATTGGGAATTTGACCTATTAACGCCGAGGAAGTTAAAAAAAAAAGTTTTCTCGAGAAGAATTTGTATATAATCATAATATAAAATTTTATGAAATTAAATCATTATATTTTTATTTGTTTGTAAATATATATTTATGTTTTTTAATCAAATAATGAGATTTTCAATAAAAATAATACAATTACTCAATTTTATAAAAAATAAATTTTTTAAATAGTGTAGGGACTGTTAGTATATTTAAACCTAATAATCATTACGAAAACAGACAAAAATGATACTTATAAAAATGAATACAACTAGGGTTTCGTCGCCATTTAACTAACTACTCGAGTCAAGCTCCATCACAACCTGAATTTCCTTTTCCTTTTGATTTCCAGGTAATTTACTTTCTTCTCGACTAATATATCCTTCATTCTTCCATCACTTCACTGTTACTGTTAAGGTTTTCCTTTTGATTGGTTGCTATAATATGCTTAATCCTTTGTTTGGTTATGCTTTTTGCTTCCTTAGATGCAACTCGCTTCTTTTTTACGGAAAATATTAATTTCTTGACCTGGATATGAAGGTTTTAATATATTAGTGAAAAATATGGAATTTTGAATCAAATTTTATTTGTATTACTTTTTTCCCCTAAAGTAAAAATTAAAAATTTGCAATTGGTTTGCGGATCTAGATTTTTTTTATCTGTTTAGTTTGCTTTAGACATTTTCATTTCCAAGTTTTCCTATACTTTTTGTTATGGATTTTTTTGAGCGTGCGTGTATACTTTTCTCATGCATGTTAGTTTTTGAATGGGATGCTCGTTTCTAGAGAAGAAAGCGTGGTGGTTTACTAATTTTTTGTTTGTTTGATGTTATGCATGATGTAGAGGTTTGCAAAAAGAAGATTTCAGTATCATTTCACGGTAGTTAGGCAAGACGATAAAAGGGTTATGCCAATTATGGAAAACGAAAGTTCTAATGTACCGCGGGCCGAAGAAATCAAAATTCAAGCAAATGAAGCATTTAAAGGTACTGACTTGACGAGCATATAGTGCTTTACTATTGCAACTTTTTAATTGTTTATTAAATATTGACTAGTTCAAGTGTTTGATTCTGCGTGGAGAATATGCTGATTGTTAATTTCTACATGGTGATGTTTGCAATTTCATTGTGTTTGGCTGTGCTAAAGTTGTTGGTTTGCCTTTTTCCAGCCCACAAGTATGGTCAGGCTATTGACTTGTACACTCAGGCAATAGAACTAAATAGTCAGAATGCAGTATACTGGGCAAATCGTGCATTTGCTCACACCAAATTGGAAGAATACGGTAGTGCCATACAGGATGCTACGAAGGCAATTGAAGTTGATCCTAGATATTCAAAGGCATGTTTTATCTAGTGAAACAATCAGCTGCTTGTGCAGAATCTACTTTTGTTCTTGTTCTAATACCTCTTGCTTACAGGGTTATTACAGACGTGGTGCTGCTTATCTTGCAATGGGGAAGTTTAAGGAAGCACTAAAGGATTTTCAACAGGTATTTTCTCTTTCAGGGTTGAAATATCGTAAAATATGCTTGTTTCAGAGGTTGTCATTTAGCTGTGTAAAAACATTTCCCCTTTTAATTAGTAATTTTTATTTTATTATATATTATCTTAGTCTTTTGAATCCTGGATTATATGGATGTTTGCTCCGCTCATGACAGAGCTTATCAAGTTGCTCACCTTTCTGGTATTGGATATTTTATGGCCATGGGGTGATGAGATGTGCTTGCAAGCTAGATTTGACTATTTGAGCTTCATCAGAGTCAATATGGTTTCTCCATTTTATGAGCTTCAAATGTCTGAGAATATATTCATGCATTTTCTTATGAGTGAAGGAACACCTACGGCTTTGTTGTAACTGTTTTACCTGAGATCATTGTGAGATGCTGTAACTAATACACTGGTAGCAGAATGATCCAATTTTCCTATCTCATGCTGTCTAATATTGTTCTAGTGAAATTTATGCCATGCTTATGGGAAATGCCTAGTTCCAAAGTTTCCATTTAGAAGTAACTTTCTTTATTGCGCATTCGTATTTTGCATATGCTGTCAATTCTTTTTCCCCCCCTTCTCTTGGGGGAAAGACTTATAATTTATGTACATTATAATTTGTGAAATGTGGTTTCTTATGTCTTAAAAATGTTTTCTCCACTTTGGACTCAAGGTAAAAAAGATTTTACCCAATGATCCCGATGCTACCAAGAAATTGAAGGAATGTGAGAAAGCAGTAATGAAATTAAAATTTGAAGAAGCAATTTCTGTGCCCGAGTCTGAGAGGCATTCTGTAGCTGAATCTATTGACTATCACAGCATAGGTATCTTCTTTTCCCCTTTTAATTATTAAGTTTTCAAGGTTTCCTCATATTCTTAAATTTCTGATGGGCTGTGAACTACTTGGGTCATGAAATATATGATTTTTGTTCCTCCCTGGAGGTGGAATTTTGCCTTTTGGTGTTCAGTTAATTAGTTTATCTTTAGGTTTCTGGCCAAGTTTTACATTCTTTACTGAAGTGGTTTAGCATGCTGGTGGGCTGTTTTTGCTTCGCTTAGTGGCTTGTTCTGCAAGACAGTTTATATTATCAAAAGGGAATTTTATATGTTAGAAATTCATTAGCAGTCATGCTGTTGGCAAACAGTAATATAAGCGTTAGATCTATAATTCTGATAATGGTCTAGTTTATCTTAGATTACGTGTAAACTTTCCTTTTCATTTGTTTGCCAATATGTATGATTTGCTTAAGGTGTTTGTTGTTGAATACTGAAGCATTTAGAAACAGAGACTAGAGAGTTTGATATGCTCTACTTTTGTCAATTCTAAAGGGGCAAAGAATGAAATTTTTAATTTAAAAAAACTAAAATCAAATTAATGAGAACTTCAATTTGATAGGCCTTTTTTGCACCTGGTACCTAATGAAAAAAGCGTGTCCAAATGCGCTTGATCAAATGTCTTACTAGAAGTAATGCTTGATGATGCAGGCGCATTTTATGATTCTATAATATTTTTATTATTTCATATTTATTTATTAAACATTAGATATATTATGGATGGCTAGGGTTTAGGGTTAGCTTTACTTTCAAGTTTAGTTACTTTCGCATGCAAGAAAAGAAGTCTATATAAATAAGATGGCTTTATAGTCAAGATAATATTCTTATCATTATCTTTGAATTAATAAAGAAAAACTTGTGGTTTTTAAACCCTAATTTTTTTCTTTTTTGGAGTTCCAATTTCTCTCAAACTCGTTTTGAGCCTTGTTTCTTTCATTTGATGTTTTTCCTTCTAAACCACATCAAGAAGGGTCTATGGTGTGATGTAGTGCCTCTTTAACAGCTCTGATCATGAATAAAATAGTGAGGTGAATCTGTGTGGTATCGAGTTTGATTGCTTTCATCAATGTTAAAAGCTTAATAATATTCATAATATTATAGGAAAATAGGTAAATTGATAGAATGTTTAATGCTACTCTTTGTATTCTGGTTTAAGATCCGGAACTTTTAACTCCTATTTTTGCAAGGATTTGTACCATCTTTTTATAACACCTGAACGTAATCTACACTCTACATGTAACCAAATCATCTGCTCGGTCTTACTAATTAGGCATGCTGAACCTTCCAACCATTTCTGTAAGAAAGTCTGGCTACAGGCTTTTGCTAGTTTTAAGGTTAGTTGCAGGGCTTTGAGATATTTTCCCATCAGCTTCATCTGCTTTAGTTCTAAGATTAAATTTATAATAGGTACCCTTTATCAGCTAGTATAAAATATATGGTTAATCAACATTTATATTATTTTAACATATTGTATCATAATAGGGACGAGTCCCAGGTCATCATTCATGCCCACCCAATTGGGCATAGCGGCAGTTGCAGTAGCATTTGTGGCAGCACTAGCGATGATGCTGGGGGCAGCAGCAGCCACAAAGGTGGCAGCAGTAGTGGTCGTGGTTCTAGGGACATGGTGGTGGGGTGGATCTTCTGGTAGTGGTGTCTTTACTGAGAGTTAAATGCTTGAGTTAGGTTTGACAGTTTTAGCTCAAAGTATAACGTTGAAGTACTACAAGTCAATCTCACATGTTTCAATAACCATTCAGGAAATCTTTTCTTCAGGAGAAGTAGTTTAACTGCACTTAAAGATTAAATTGGTGAATTCACTATAACATTGATGCATTTTAACTCGGCAACTTGGCTGAAAATCTCTCTTTATGCCCTTTTATTTGTTTTAAAAACCGTTACTTTTTCATTTCATCCTGGTATGAATTGTCTTAAAAAATGCTACCGAGTATCATTTATTTTCATAAGGTAGAAGGGAGAAAAGTAAAACTCCTCTCTGTGAGAAGATACTTAATGCTAACAATATGGCCAGATGGGAGTTGATATTTGCTTTGATTACGTTTATAATATTTATGTACAGAATAAAATTTCTGCTGATTTAGTTATTCCTATGTGTTCCATGGGTTTGTGAGGTTATAATTATTGACCTTGAAAGAATTTGTAAATCGAATATAGCATTTGACAATTGAAAAACTTTCAAACACTTGGGAGTTATCTATAGATTCGTTTTAGTACTTGAGGATATATAACTAGGAACAGTGCATGAGAGAGAGCTTATTCAATTTACCTTTTATAGATCACACTTCGCATGGATTATGTTGAGAAAGGATTTGTGGACTTGAATGTTGCTAATATGTAAGCTGCTTGTAAGCCTTTAACTTCCACTGATCGGATTGATTTGCATTCATATAAATGCTGATAAAATACAAATGTGGAAAGTATTTTTTTTATATATATTTTGGAGGTACTGAATGTTGTAGTTGCTTTCTTGAATTCATGGGATTTTCTTAACAATAAATTTGTTTCTGTGCATTAATTGAATTGTTATTTTGCTTCCATTATAGAGGTGGAGCCACAATATTCAGGTGCAAAAATAGAGGGAGATGTTGTCACTTTGGATTTTGTTAAAAAAATGATGGATGACTTCAAGAATCAAAAGTGTTTGCATAGGAGGTATGTTTAGCAAGTGCAGTTATGGATTTTGTTATTGTTATATTGCTCATTTTTTTGTTGAATAATGTTTCGGTATAGATATGCATTCCAGATTGTCTTACAAACACGAGAAATGCTGCGAGCTCAGCCCCCTCTTGTTGATATTAATGTTCCTGATGGCAGTCATTTCACCGTCTGTGGTGATGTACATGGTCAGGTAATTTAACAACTTGATAATCCTTATTTTTAGTCTGCAAGATATGTTCTTACCAGATCAGGTCCTTTGACGGAGGATATACTGGTATATTTATTTTCCTGTTAATAGAAAATAAATGCATGCACTTGAATGTCATGGTGATGTATAACGTCCCTATCCAGTAATGTTGAATGTGAATAGCTTGTTGTTTTTTGAAGCCACCTATCAGCTATAGCTATGTTAATATGGCTAAGAGTGATAAGTAATTGGTAGGCTTGATTTTGTTGCTTATATTTTCTCTTTCTATTGGTGGTGTTTGTTAATTAATGTGTTTATTTTTCCATGTCTCTTGTAGTTCTATGATTTGTTAAATATTTTTGAGCTTAATGGTCTCCCGTCTGAAGAGAATCCATATCTTTTTAATGGTGACTTTGTGGATAGAGGATCTTTCTCCGTGGAGGTCATCCTCACACTGTTTGCACTAAAGTGCATGTGTCCATCAGGTGAACCTTATTTCCTATTTTCTCCGCTGCACATTTCCTCCCTGGCTTTTACATGCGTTATTATAGTCCTCTGTTTCCTGCTTTTCCATCCCTGTTTCTCTTTGACTAACATTTTCAATCTCGTTAATTTCAGATATGTAATATGTTAGATTAATCGTTTCCCATTTCCTTAATTCTTTTCCCATTTTATTTGCTTTCACCAAATTGTCACTGGAATAGTAAGGAACTTTATCTGAGCACCTTTTTTTGGGTCATCTCTAACGTAAACTGATTTTTGTGATCGAATTCTCGTATATTATCTTACTGACCGAACGCTCTTAACTTTATGATTTTGAATGGAAGTTCTGTGAACTTATCTTCAGGGTGTTCCCTATTAGTATGATACATACAAAAGCTTAATTTCACTTTGGTGCATCTAACTTGGTAATTTTCAGCAATTTATCTTGCTAGAGGGAATCACGAGAGTAAGAGCATGAACAAGATATACGGTTTTGAGGGCGAGGTCCGGTCCAAGTTGAGTGACACATTCGTGGAACTCTTTGCAGAAGTATTCTGTTGTTTGCCTTTGGCTCACGTAATAAACCAAAAGGTTTTTGTCGTTCATGGAGGCCTTTTTAGTGTTGACGGGGTGAAACTCTCCGACATCAAAGCAATAGATCGGTTTTGTGAGCCTCCTGAGGAAGGTAAAGTGCACCAGTGTTTTTCCTTTACTTTTCCTTCAGTTTCTGCGATGCTTGATGCAATTTCGTAAATCGGTCATTAGCTATTGATTTCTCCTCTTCTTAACTTTAGTAAATAAGTTATTTTACCGTGTATCTCATGGTTCTCTACTGATTTCATCAGGGTTGATGTGTGAATTGCTTTGGAGTGATCCACAACCTTTACCAGGACGAGGTCCTAGCAAGAGGGGAGTAGGTCTTTCTTTCGGCGTGGACGTGACAAAAAAATTTTTGCGGGATAACAATCTAGGTATATATCTGCAAGTCTGTGTGCCTAGTTTTAGTGAAAAGAAAAGAACCGGTCATCGGTGTTTTGATATTGGTGATCTAATGTGCTTGATTAACAGATCTAATCGTGCGATCTCATGAAGTAAAAGATGAAGGCTATGAGATTGAGCATGACGGTAAACTTATTACAGTTTTCTCTGCACCAAATTACTGTGATCAGGTAATTGAATCTTAAATTCTCTATGGAAAATTTATCCTTGCAGTTTTGTACCCATATGGATATTCTATTCTATACACAAACAACTGTTTATGCTATCTTGCAAATGAAGCATTCTGCAGTCTTCGATTAGTCCCCATGACATCTTATCTATAGATCTCTTTTTAGTTTTCATTATGTTCGAAGTTGAATCTGAATGATTTGGTCGGAGATTCTGTTTTAGGAGCTGAAGATTAAATTTTTTTTATGTATCATAACACGAGTCGTCATCACTGTCTGAATCATGTTTTCCCCATTTAACATAACGAGTTGGTTGAAAATTTGGTGGTTTCAGATGGGTAACAAGGGTGCGTATATTCGGTTCGAAGCCCCCGATTTGAAGCCAAATATTGTTACATTCGCTGCAGTGGTTAGTAGTTTAGTGTTTCCTTGTATTGTCAATAACCATTTCCCTCCTTGAAGATGCGAAACAAAATTTGACAATTACTTCGTGATTTGCAGCCTCACCCCGATGTCAAACCGATGGCCTATGCAAACAATTTCCTTAGAATGTTCCAATAGTCATTGATCGATGGTTCAATCTCGTACATCCGGTTTCTTGCTGCCCGATGTCTCATCTACCGCTCAATGGTAAGTTTCGTTTTGAAAATTCGACCGACTTTAATGATTAATCCAAATGCCGGTTCAAGGCTGGGACCCGAAAAGAAAGAAATAAAAAAAACCCTTCCGGGCGGGCAAGCGAGAGTCCGGTTCGGGTTTAGGGATTGTAAAATAGGTGACAATGCTATTATCATGTCTTTGTATTTTTAACAGTAGTCCTGCTTTGTACGTTCAATAATATTTGTCATGTTCTTTGTTTAATCTGTCATTCGCTGTTGCTGGTAGGCAATCGAGTCCTGGTCCTCGGTTAATCTTTGCTGTTATGCCCCTTAGTTCATACTATGTAACCGGGGTAAAGTTCACCCATAGCTCCTAAACTATGATGGAATGATCTTTCTAGATAGTGAACTTTTAAATGTTACAAAATGATCATTAAAATTTGTCGAACTGTTTGAAATTGTCATTAAGTTTATTGAACTATTGTGTTGGTGTCATTTTGTAATAATTTATAATGTGTTGGTGTCATTTTGTAATAATTTAATAATTTTAATAATCATGTTCTAATGGTTTATTTCAGTGATCTATAACATATTTTATTCTAAGAATTTGGAAAGAACATTGTGAATGTCGATTTGCATAAACATGTAATATATTTGAAGTATAATGTCGAGACAATAATTTGAATATTTCATGAATTTTGAGAGTTTTCATATGCTGTAAGACTTGTCAATAATATAATTTTACATCTTAAATCGTACCTCTTATTATAATTTTTTAGCTTAGGGGCTATTTTTGTCTTGTAGATTCAATTTATCGTTTTTGTCCCTATGATTTTTCGTATCAATTTAGTCTTCAAAGTTGTTTAGAAGTGTCATCTTAGCTCTTAAATTTTATTTTGAATATAATTGTTAGTCTTTTACGTTTGTCAATATTAATAATTTTCACGTTAACTAATATTATTGATGTGACTTGTTGATAATGTCACGTTTATTAAAAAATAATAAAATATTTATTAAATATAAATGTTAGAAAAAAAATTCAAAAATTTGACCCAATCTCTTCATTAAAATAAATAATAAAATTTTAAATTTTTTTCTACTCTGTTTAGTAAATATTTTAATATATTTCCTTAATCCATAAATATATAAGATTACCAGTTCTGTTAGTCAAAACAATTAACGAACTTTGAGGATTAAATTGAGTGTTAAATTTATGCATAAAGATCATAAGGGCCAAATTAATAAATTGAGTCAACTAAAGAGGGTAAAAGTAGCCCTTAAAGCCTAAATCATATATAAAAATTGATAATATCACCAAATTGAATTAAAATTTTAGGTAAATTATGTAATTAATACTTAAACTATCATTTTAATCAATTTTAGTACTTAAAATTTTTAATGTTTTTAAAACTATGCCTAACGTTTAGTTTTTATTTCATTTTAGTACATCGCCGTTAAAAACTTAACATGTTTAGCACCTAAGCTATTAGTTTTGGTTTGTTTTAGTACCTAAATTTTTAAATTTCTTTCAAAACTTAACATTAAATTTTGAACGTGGGTGCTAAAATGAAATAAAAACTAAAATTGTTAACCACAGTGTACTAAAATAAAATAAAAACTAAATATTAGGTATGGTTTTGAAAAAACGGAAAGTTTACTGCTAAAAAGGATAAAAACTAATAGTTTAGATACTAAATACGTAATTTATCCAAAACGTTTATTAGAAAACCTCTCGAGACACGCAGGTGACAGCTTTCTTTCTCCCTCACTCACACTGCAGATTAACTCAGCTGCTATCTATCAAAGGTAACATTGTTGTTTCTCTCTTACGCTCTTCTGATCTCAACAGTCACCGGAATTTTTTTTTTGAACAAGACGGTGATTTGAAGAGAAGAATGTGGATGCACATCTCTCATTATGTGTTTCCACTTCATATTTTATGGTTTTATGCTCTTTAGAATGACTGCGCCATCTTTCTTTTGTTTTGGTTCTCATGGGACTGGTTTTATTGAATTCCAACTTCAATGAAGCATTGTCCAGATATATTGAGGAATGTGGATACAAATAAAAAAAGATTAAATTAAATTAAATATATTCATTCGCATTGATGCCATGTTTTTATTCTGACAGTGGATCCCGAATCTGGATAGCAGAAGTTGAAACTTCCTTCTTTTTTTTTTGGATGAACGGAAACTGTTACAACCTATTCAAGCTCAATTTCCTGGAAACACCTATTCTCTAATGGCTTCTTCGAAGCTCCTCAGCCAATCTCGGTGGAACCGTTTCCTTCGGGGAAACCTTTCCAATGTCAGGCTCTTCTCTGATTTAGCTTCGCAACACCCTGTTTCTGAACATCACGACAATGTTGACCGCAAATCTAACAACAAGTTCAATAAGGCTTCTTCAACTCCCTCTTCGTTGAAGGAACCTGAACTAGCCAAGTTCGCTGCCATTGCCGATACTTGGTCAGTAAAAGAATTGGGATTATTTTTAGGTCAGTTCAACAAAGATTTTGAAATGCTCTACTATGTTGTTTTCTTCTATTACATGCAGGTGGGATTCTGAAGGACCGTTTAAACCATTGCATAAAATGAATCCTACCAGGCTTGCTTTCATCCGCTCTACTCTTTGTAGGCATTTCTGGTATGTGTGTTTCGAGAATATAAAATCTTTTACTGGCTGAATCTGTTTAGTTACTTTAGTAAGTATGTTTTGGGATACTGATATCGAGGTTTATTATGCTTATTAGGGAAATTTCAATTTGATCCCTAATTACATTTGTTTATGCTGTTTGTTATTATAGAAAGGATCCTCTCTCAGCTAGGCCCTTTGAAGGGTTAAGGATTGCTGATGTTGGTTGTGGTGGTGGTTTTCTCTCAGAGGTGTTTACGCATGTCCTCAATTGGAATACCGTTATCCTACGAGTATGGAATTACTTTGGGTCAATGTTTTTGGTTTTTGAAATACATCATCATACACCTGTTAAATTGTGTAACTGCTTAACTCTCGGCCTCCATGATTCCTTTGGAAATCGTTCCTCTCATTTGGAATGACAGGTTTATGTCTGAAACTTCTTTGTTATCTTGCCAAGTGTGTATAGCCACTGGTCTCTTGATGTTAGATCATAAATATTGAGATCAATGACAAACCTTTGCCACATAGGCATTATCTTGCATGCTCCACTAGAATGCTTTAAACGTGCTTTTTCAGTGTAGATTCTTATCATTGGTTACCTCTATTGGAACTGTTGCTGCTGGTATAAGTTCACAATTCACTTTACAAACTACCGTTGGACTCGGAAAATTATGAGTACTCCTCGTATTGATTAAAATTTGCAGCTTCCTTTTATTGATATTCCCCTCTTATTTTCATTGTTTGAGTTCCTTCCAAGCCCACATTAAATGTAACGATAGCTGCACATCAGTTTACACGTCCAGATCTTCTACTGTTGTCTCCAATTCACCTTCCTCTGTCTCTTTTGCAACAAGTTGCATTACATACATTTTTTTTTGCTTACAACTACGGTTAGGAGTGTATTTCTCATAAACAACCAGGATACTTATTAGTGGGGGAAAAGAAAACATTAATACCCAAATAAGCCCTTGATCTTTTACTTCGTGGAACTAAGGAAAGTTTTATTTCAATGTATTGTACCCATTAAATAAAAGATTGTTGAATATAGTCCAGTTATCAAATTATTAAAATAGTTTTTTCTAAAATAAGTCCTCATTCTGCTTTTTCTCTTCTCTCCTAGTAGACATTAAACAAACTAATAACAAAAAATGAGTGAGAGAGAGAAAAACGTAGAGAGAGAATTTTAAAAAAAAGTTAGTTCCCGATGAGTGTTGGTCGGCGTTTATCGACAACCTGAGTAGGAGGGTTTCTCGTCATACTCTTAAGGAATTATTCTTAGTCCATGGTCCGGTTATGAGAGTTTTCATTCCCAATCAAATTAGAAATCCTAAGTACAGATTTTCCACCTTTGCTTTTGTTCATTTTAAGAGGGAGGAAGATTTAAGGAGGGTTGTTGATGAGTTAAACGGGGTTGTGATTGATGGAAGGAAGATCTTAGTTAGTCCTGCCAGATTTAAGGATGATCGTTCAAGGTCAAGGGTGGTGCATACTTCTTCAAACGAGGCTTCTGGTCAGATTAATGCAGATTCTTCGAAATCAAGAGAAAGAGAAAATATTATCAGAAGTAGAAGGGACGATAGAACTTATAGGGATGCTCTGATGTCAAATGGGATTACAAGGGGGTACAAAGAACTATTGTCTGAGGATGTCCAAAGGAGGAATGTCAAGAAAAACATTATGGAGATGCATATTCCATCAGAAAGTGCCAATTGGGTGAAGAGGTCGTTAATAGGGATTATCAAATACTCGTTTCAAGTTGAGTTCATTCGGAATGCCTTATTTAAGGAAGGCTATAATGTTCAAATTGCTAGATGGGGTTATGTTTGGAACTCTTGCGTTTTAGTTCTCAATTCCCACGAGGAGATGCTGGATTTGTGGAGCAAAAAGGAAGAGGTTTTAAAACAGTGGTTTGAACGAGTGGAACCTTTACTGAATGAGGCCGGAGTTCCCATGGCCTTCTGTATGGCAGAATTAATAGGGGTTCCTTTGTTATGCTGGAATGAATCTTTCTTCGAGAAAATGGCTGGAGATGGGGCAAAGTGGTAGTATTCATGAGAGTACAAGGAAAAGAGAAGACCTTACAATGGCAAGAATTTTATTGAGAGTGGAAAGCCCCTTTGATGTTCCAGAGGTGATCACTCTTGGTTATGGAAGATCATTCAAAGTAAGTATTAAGATTGGATCAGCAAGTGAGTATTCAAGTTTTTCAGTAATTTTCCGGTGGAGGATTCCGATGAGGCATTTTCTGAAGAAATTAGGTCTGAGGAGGATGTAGACAGGTTGTTGTCAGATCATGGGGAAGGGGAGGCATGTGCAGCAAGGAAAAATCGTCTGTCAGTGGACAATTGGATTGAGCAGGGTGTGTTCAGTGGTTCTGGAGGAGTTAGTGAGACAGCTAGCAAGGCTTCCCTTAGATAGGAAAGGTATTAAATGTAGTCTGCCAGAAAGTCAAAAGGTTGGGAGTTTAAAAGTTGGTGAGTTTGCAGGTTTGGGGATTAGAAGTCAACATTTCGGCTGATGGGTCTCAGGCCCATTCTGAAGACTCTGGGCAGTCTGGGTCAAAAGATTTTTCGGGTTTCATTTCTGGGCCAGCATATATAGTTGATAAGTGTGGGGATTTTGTGGAGAACCTTAATTTAACAGGAAAAAACAGGAAAACGTTTAAAGTATTGGAGAAGAGCCCAATTACAGAGAAGGTGGTTAATGCAGAAATAGAGGCTGAAGAAGAAAGTTTAAGGTTGGTTGAATCGGTTACAACTAATTTAGGAAACATCTCAAGGGGGAGACAGTTACACCGTTCTAGAAGAAAGGTCTCATCTTAGAGTGAGGTGCTGGAAACTAGAAGTTTGAGCAGTTGCAAAAGGGTCTATAGCAGGTCGAGGGAAAGAAGATATTGGTATGGAGATTTGTTGAACTTTACGAATGAAATAGATGGCACCAAGGTTGGGCAGAGGAAGTTGGATGTGGACTCTAGCACTGCAAAACAGATTTGTTTTTCAACAGAGCTCATTGCTGATGGGAGTCTTCTTCCTAGCTTTGTTAATGGTCTTGGGGATGGGACCGTAGAGCGGGAGATTGAAGGTTACTGTTCTGAAGGTGAATGCTCAAGACCCAAATCTGGTTTGTTAATTAGAAGGAAGAGGAGAGCTAGAAGGATCCTGTTTCGAGAAGCTCTTGACCAGGTGAGCATTGATACAGCATCCTCCTCAGCTTTCTCGAGTTTATTGAAAGAAGCTGTAGAAACTTGGGAGGTTAGTAAGCTTTTGGGAGTATCTTTTAAGGAAGGGAAAGAAGCATTTTTGGAAAAAATCATAGCTTTAGAGAAAGGCTTGATTGGGATTAATCAAGGTTTGGTTGATTGAGGTTTTTGTTTGTACCTTGTTCCCTTTATGAAGATGTCAAAGTTAGTAATATGTTCATGGAATGTTAGGGGTCTGGGGAAAAATGAAAAAAAGAGGGCTGTTCAGAATTTAGTCACTAGCTTAAATCCTACTTTCCTTTGGTTGCAAGAAACTAAGACTGAAAAATTTAAGAGGTCTTTCTTTAGGAGAAGTGGGATTAATAAGCTTAAAGGAGTTTTGGAATCTCCTTCAGTTGGATCAGCGGGGGGCCTGTGTTGTTGGGATGACAATATCTTTGAGTTGGAGAGTCAGTTTATTAGTAGGAGATTTTATAGCTACCTTTGGTAAATTCCGGAATAAAAAACTTCAGTTGTGGTTTCATCAATGTATACGGTCCAGCAGTGGAGGAAGAGAAAGCTGGTTTTTTTGAAGAATTAAGCAGTTTTCTTAGTGGACAGAATTTTCCCGTTTGTGTGGGAGGGGACTTCAATGTTTATTTACAAGAAAATGAGAAGATGGGCAGAGGCCAAAGTAGGAGCTCAATGGAGATCTTTAATGACTTCATTCTTCATACGGGCTTAATTGATCTTCCTATGAATGGGGGAAGGTTCACTTGGTGTAATAACCAAGAGAATCCCACGTTTGTAAGATTAGATCGTTTTTTGGTTGACAGTCAATTTCTAGCGTTATTTCCAGACATTTTACAGTCTCTTCTACCAAGATCATTGTCAGATCACAATGCCATAATTCTTGTGAATAAAGGAGTGGACTGGGGTCAAAAACCGTTTAGAATGTTCAACTATTTGATGGATGAGGAGGGTTTTGAGGATATGGTTATTTCTTCTATTCAGAGTTCTAAGAAAAGTCAGAAGAAGGCAGGTGCTTTTAGTCTTTTAAGGAGTGCCAAACATGCAATTAAAAAGTGGTCTGGAAACAGAGATAAGTATCCAGGAGACTTGATTTTTGAGTTAGATAAGAAAATTTCGAAGATAGAGGCTGATATTCAACAAAAGCAGGGTGCTGTCAATAGTGAGGTATTAACTGAGTTGAATAATTGTAGATCAGAATTGTGGAAGCTGCACAAGATCCAAGAGCAGATTTGGTTTCAGTATTCGAGATCTAAATGGATTGAAGACGGGGATCGCAACACTAAATACTTCCATACCTGTGCTACGGTTAGGAAGAAGAGGAATGCACTGGTGGCACTTAATTTAGAGGAGAAATAGTTGAAGACCCAATTGCTATTAAGGACATTTGTGAAGGATTATTTTTTAAGATCTACAATAACCGATCTACTCTAGAAATTGATGAATTAAATCTGGATTTTTCCAGAATTTCTTTGGAGCAATCAGTTCTTAGAGCAGGAATTTTCAGAGGAGGAAGTTTGGGATGTTGTGAAGTCTTGTGGAAGTAACAAAGCTCCGGGTCCTGATGGCTTTATATGGGTTTTTTCAAGAGGTTTTGGCAGGTCCTTAAGGAAGATATTATGATCTTCTTTAAGAAGTTTTACTTGGGGAAGGATGGGAACATGGAATAAATCACACTTTCATCACTCTTATTCCGAAAATTTCAAACATTGGCGGTTTGGACGATTTTAGACCTATTAGCTTAGTTGGTGGTTGTACAAGATCCTCTCTAAATGTCTGTCAAGGAGACTTAGGAGCTGCATTTCAGATTTGATCAGTCCATGTCAATTCGCTTTTATTCCCGGTCGACAAATCTTGGATTGTTCCCTATAGCCAATGAAGGGATTGACTTTTGGAAGAAGAATGGTTTAAAAGGATGTGTTTTTAAAGCTGATTTCAAGAAGGCATATGATACTCTTGACTGGCCTATTTTGTTCAGAATTATGAAGGAAATGGGATTTGGTTCTAGATGGATAGGGTGGATTTCGAAGTGCATCACTTCAGCAACTGTTTCAGTCTTGGTGAATGGGGTTCCAACCGAGGAAATCCCAATGGCTAAGGGTCTTCGTCAAGGCTGTTCTTTGTCTCCGTTGTTGTTTAATATAGTTGGGGAACTATTGAATTTATTGATACTTAAAGCTGTTTCAGGGGGTCTCTTTTCGAGTTTGATGATTAGAAATGAGGAGAAGAATTTTAATTTAACACATCTAATTTGCTGACGACCTTATAATTTTCTGTGTGCGTCGAAAAAACAGATCTTGAATGTGAAGAGGGTGCTTCGAGTGTTTGAGATTATTTCTGGACTTCAGTTGAACTTGAAGAAGTGCAAATTGTTTGGGGTGAATTTAAGGGAAGAGGAAATTAAGGATTGGGCAGCTACGATTGGATGTTCAGTGGGTTATTTTCCCTCTGAATATTTGGGACTCCCTCTTGGTCCACACAGGAACTACATTCTGTGGGATCCAGTGGTTCAAAGCTTCAATAAGAGGTTAGCAGGCTGGAAAGGCTCTTCTTTGTCACTGGCGGGCAGGCTGGTTTTGATTAAATCAGTCCTATGTTCACTTCCTATATACTATTTGTCATTATTTAAGGTTCCAGCTTCAGTATACAAGACCCTAAACTCTATTATGTCAAATTTTTTATGGGGTGGAGGAGGTGGGAGGAAGAAAATCCATTGGGTAAGCTGGTCCAGCGTGTGTAAACCGAAAATTGAAGGAGGCTTGGGAGTTCCTAATATAAATACGATGAATAGGGCTTTATTGGAAAAGTGGGCTTGGAGGTTTGCTATTGAGAGGAAGGCGATTTGGAGGGAAATGATTTGCACTAAATACAAAATGGATTCTTCATTGATGCAGCTTGATAGTAAGGTTTCTCCTAAATTTTCTTGGATATGGAGATCTTTGGTGAATAATCATTTTAAAGCTGATTCGATGGGCTGTAGTATCAGAAGCAATTATAGCTACAAAATTGGCAATGGGAGGAATATTCGGTTTTGGCAAGACAATTGGGCATTGGATCATCCTTTGATGGTCATGTTCCCTAGACTATTCTCTATTGCAGTGAACAAAACTGGAAGATTATTTTAGTTTGGGGATCACAGTTCTGGGGGCTGGTTTTGGAACGTCCAGTTGAGAAGGAAGTTGAATGACTGGGAATTTGAACAATGGTCAAACTTGATGGCTGTTATTTCAGATTTTTCTGTTTCTACTGATGCTGTTGATGGAATGTTGTGGAAGGGGAATGGAGAAGGGGTTTCAATGTTAAATCATGTGCCAATCTATATTATTCGGGTTTCTGATTTGGAGGAAGCTAATTTTTGGAAATCTATTGTTTGGAGGGGCCTGCTGCCTCCAAGAGTGGAGACTTTTCTTTGGCAAGTATCTTAAAGAAGCTGGCAGTGAAGACAGCTCTGGTTAAGAGAGGTGTTCAGGGCATAAATGATTCTATGTGTCCTTTTTGTAATCTAGAAGAAGAGTCTTCATCTCATCTATTTTTTTCCTGTTCGGTTGTTTGGCCAATATGGACTAAATTCATGGGTTATTGGAATTTTCAGTCTGTTTTTCATGAAGATGCAAAAATTCCTAGTAGCATGGACTAACTTAAAGACCACTCTCTGATGTGGTCATTTATCCCTGGAGTGGTCTTATAGACAATATGGAAAAAAGGAATTATATAGTGTTTGAAGGAGGGAAGTTTGATCGAGCAGAATATTCTATCTAGCTAGGTGCAGGCTTGCTTCATGGTTTCTAGCTAGGGAAACTCAGATTTCTATTTCCAAGGATGCTCTTATTGCCGACCCGTCCTTAGTGGATTCTTGCTCGTCTCATACTAATCGGATTTCAACTAAGGTTCCTTGGTCCCCTCCTCCAAAGGGTTTTATTAAACTTAATGTGGATGCGGCTACTTCTAGTGATTGGAAAAGGAGTGGTTTAGGTGGTGTTCTGAAAGATAGTTCTGGTTCGATTCTTGGCTCCTTCAAAGACCCTGCTGGTCCGGGACCTCCAACTTTGATGGAATTGAAAGCTATCCTAAAGGGGTTATTTTATTATGAATCTATTCGACACAGATTTAAAGAGAGATTGATTATCGAGAGTAATAGTAAGGTGGCAATTGGTTGGGTCAAGGATGTTGGTTCTTGTCCTGTCGTTTATGTTCAAGTTGTTAAGGAAATTATTCAAAAGCTTAGTGTTTATGAAGGTCTTATTAGATGGGTTAGTAGAACAGCCAATATAGAGGCGGATGTTCTAGCTAAGGCTGGTATTGGTTGAGTATTATGTTCTGTTAAGGGCTGGTTCTTTTTGGCTTTTTATCTCTGGAGGGAGATTAGACTTTGTATTACTTTGTAATGTTTTAGATTAATGAACTCCTAGGGCACTCTTTTCCTCCTTCCGCTGATTAAGGAACTATTTTCAAGTTCCGTTAATCATGAAGGGGGTTTTTAGTGAGGCCTACTATTCCTATAAAAAAAAACATTAAACAAACTGATAAAGTTAGATTTGCTATTTTTCTGGTACTCATTATATTCTTTTTCCTCTCAGCCATTGGCTCGAATGGGAGCAACTGTCACTGGAATTGATGCAGTAGAGAAAAACATCAAGATTGCTCGCCTAAGCATTTCTACATCTTGGATGACGGTGTTACATTTCATGATTTTCTTATCACTAGAAATATTCCTGTTTTTGCACCAGTATTTCTTCCATTCATGTTTGCCTAAGCATTTCTACATCTTGGATGATTTCAGTAATAACTGCACCTGGGGTTAAAAGAAAGATGATAATTATTTGGTTATTAATGATGACCCTATTTTACGCCTGCATTTTGAAGATACTGAGTTGTCTCGAGGATTTTTACTTGCATTTTGTCTTTGAAACTGTAGCTTGTACTTCTAAAAGAATATGGTCAAATAGGATTGTGATATTTTATCAAGCATGGCGTACTTTATATGAAAACTTGAAATGGAAAGCTCTTACCTGGTTCTACTTTGGAACAACTAGCTAGTTGGTAGGTGATTGAATATTTTGGCACATATTCTCATAGTTCATTAATTGTTCCTTGTGTTATTTGAATTTCTTGGCAGTAGGCACTGCATATTGTTTTTCATATTCAAATTCCTTTTATTTATTAATTGTAGACATTTGATTCCTGCTTCTAATTTGATTAAGATGAATCCTCTTATATGGATACTATTGCCCCAAATAAGTTTACAGTTGAGTGCCTGAACTTGGATTTTTTGATATGCTTGCTTCTACAGAATTTGGACCCAACAACTTCAAGTATCGAATACTGTTGTACAACTGCAGGTACATTCTGAGCTTAATTTTTCTTCTGTAGGTTAATCTCTCTGCTAATCTAGATCTGTAATTAGTTGGAATGAGAAATACTTTGTGTTTTTTCTTTTTCAAACTTTTAAATCTTTTAGTAGTGACATTTATGGATGAGTGGCAGTGGAGGACAAATTATTTGATGGGTTGCTTCTGACACTGAATTCGGTTGAGATGTGAATGAGAACATGCAGCCAAATCTAATAGTACTCGTTGCAAATAAACTCATCGTGTTAGAACTGCCATGTGTAAAATTCTCTTCAAAGTAGCCCTTTACTAGGAACTTGATGTTGCTGGGTTAACTATCAAAGTGCAAATAACAGGGAAAAATATCATGTGTACTTTGGTAGCTCTAAATGTTTGCCTTTATAATTGACGTCGATAAAGTTTATTAACTGTGTCACATTTTACGCGCTCGTGCATGGACGATTTTGAATTAGTTGAACAATTGTAGCTGTTCCTCTTTTCTGTCCTTCCATGAGTTTGTTTGGTGTTTCTTTTTAGTGGTTAGCTTATGTGGATACATTTTCACGAACAGAAAAGCTGGCTGACGAACAAAGAAAGTTTGATGCAGTGATTGCTTTAGAGGTATGCCCCCTCTCTCTCTGGACAACAACTACATCTATCTCCCTCTCCATTTGTCTCTACAGGTTGTCTAAAGAATGCTATTATTATGATCTACATTGTTTTTACCATGGCATAACAAATTTTTGCTGAGACAGATTTATGATGTAATTTTAATCATCATAAATCTGTCTTTCCCCCCTCTTTTGGTCAATTTTACTTAAGGTGATTGAACACGTAGCAAATCCTGCCGAGTTCTGCAAATCTCTCTCGGCTTTAACTGCTCATGAAGGAGCTACGGTGGTTTCAACAATTAACCGCTCTATGAGGTCATATGCAACTGCCATTGTTGCAGCAGAGTACCTGCTACATTGGGTATGGTTTTTTCCATCTTTCAAGTACAACACTTGAAAGGCACGCATTCCCGTTTCATAATTCTAAAACACAGTCAGTTCTAAGTTTTGTTTTGTCTATTTGCGGTCGCCGTTTACGTATACGTTCATAATATGTCGCATGATTTTATGCAGCTTCCTAAAGGCACGCATCAATGGTCAAGTTTCCTTACCCCAGAAGAACTGACCATGATTTTAAAGCGAGCTTCGATCGATGTAAGAAAACAAATCAATCACTTCGATATCCGAAATTGAACTCTAACTGCGTTACTACGACTAACGTTGTGGTGCAATGTGGTTGGATGTATAGGTGAAAGAGATGGCCGGATTTGTGTTCAACCCCATAACACGGAGATGGTCTCCGTCAGACGATACTAGTGTGAATTTTATTGCTTTTTGTACTAAAGAAGAATAGGGTTGTTATGGTGTTGGGTTAAATTGGAAGAATATTGATTTGAAAAATGAAATTATGAAATAAGGTGAATTCTGCCGTGTTTGGTAAAAGTCGTCAACAGATGAAGACGATACTGGCAAAATCATCCGCACTGGTAAAAATAATTTTTTAACGATAGACACCTAAAAGTGTAACCAAGAGAACATCAGACATATTTTTCAACGAAAAATTATTTACACACCAAAAGTCAATTAGAAGTATAATTTAATCACTTAAAGTTGTATTAAACCTTTTTTACATATGTATTAGAGTTTCATTTTAGCCATTGTATTTGTAATTTCCTTTCACTTTAGCCCTTTTATTTTTAATTTCCTTCCAATTAAAGGCTCAACAGATGACTGGATGATCCATGCCGTTATAACGCGAGTAACACACGACCGTTTTAGATATGCACCGGTAGAACAATAGCCGAAAAATTTATACACGATGTACAAGAATTAATCAACATTGTCGTGTCAAATAATCTGTTAACTTTGTTCATTATAAAACAAGAAGAATCCCCTTAAAGGAAGCTCACCTTCGAAGCATAGTTCGTCGAAACCCCTCGAGAAAGATCGAGGAAAGAATATGAATGGTTAGCTTTGAAGAAAGTGGTGAGAATACATTAGTAGATGATGACAAGAGTGACCTTTTAGCGATAACAACCAGCCTCGCCAAACATAAGGCGAAAAGGATCTTGATGGATAACACGATGGAGTTGCACTAGGACACTTTCCATAGAATGTGATAAGAGAGGCAACCATTGAGAAAAGATGGTCCACATCAACCTACTGAGGTCATTCTAGATACGTTTTTACAAGAACTAAAGAATGCCGCCGCACCGTAAACAGATTTTCAAAAAAGAAAACAATTTGGGAAGTCGGTATAGGTATATGTGGACATGCTGGTGAAATGAACTTCCATATTTTAAATTCTATGCGCATCAATTTCACATCCGCAGAGGATAGTAAATGTAATAAAACTTGAATCTGAAAAAAAACAGATCGGATATCGAAAAGTACCTAAATCCACATAAAAGATGCCATGACATCCCGGTTAGGCTTCGTCAATCTCACCATTCATATGCAACAATCAATCCTTGGGGGCAAGGCAATGTATGCTCATACAACCTAATTATGATTACCCTTAGAATATGAATAATAACATTCACACGACTTTGTAATCCCCTGTAATCAACTTTGTCCTCTGTGAGAACTTGGGAGCAGCTCCACCTCGCAGAGGAATGATGTTCACAACCTGCACCAATCTCTCTTAATAAAATGTATTACAGGGTTTAGCTATGCAATTTAGCCGACGGAGAGGCATAAATTACTGAAAAATATGATCCAACCACGAGATAAAATCAACAAAAGAAAAGGTAAAATGGCATATCATACCTTCAGGTCACTGTATGTACTAGTGGCTGAAAATTCGACAGAAATGGGGAAGAACGCTGACGAGTCAGC